TGGTGCCAGTGCACAGCCTGTTCAGTGTCTTCCAGGTCACCCAATCTTCTGTGTGCCCAGGAAGGAGTTTCTCATCCGGTCTCAGGAACTGATTGAGGTGCTGGGTTTTAACCTGCCACTTTTGGATTCTTGCTTGCTGGGGTGTTCTTGCAAGTATCTCTGTTGATCTTAGGAAGCTATTTCTTGATTTAAGGCATTGGCATGCTGGGTGATATCTGGACAGAGGAATGGCTGGAGATATCACTGCCTTGGTCCTTTAGTTATTTTCTGCTCAACAGATGGCAGTACTGGTCTGCGGCAGGTACTGACTTGTTCAGTAGACTCTCCTCTACAGTTCCATTTTGGTGGGAAGCCTTAGCATTGAACAGTTGTGTTGTTAAAGTATGGAACCCTGCACAGAACAGAAGTGTTTGATCTTAGGCACTAAATCAAGGACTTACCTGAAATGCCATTTGAATAGTCTGTTCTGTATTTGCAGGATTGCAGAGAACAGACAAGCCAATCACATATTCTCTGAAGTCTATAGAACCATCTCCATTCTGTAACAAAGACAAGGCGATAATTATTTAATTGTGGAGTATGATAGAGATTCAATTGCTCCTTCTGATATGCTCAGTTTTATGAGCTTTTAAGAGAAGTAATGAAAGCATATCAATCTCACCCACATCTTCTTCCACTTTTTGTTTTACAAGTTCTTACATGGTTTTGCTCCTTGCCCTCTTCTATGACAATTATTGCACTTAAATATTTTTCTGTACTAATGTGTGCATTTATTTACTCTTTCTGTGTACATTGGCTGCTAAGATGACAAATGAATGGATGTTAGAGTCAATCAAACCTGACCTCTCTCTAGAAGCCAAGAGGACCAAACTAAGGCTGTTGCATCTTATCATGAAAAGACAGGATCCTCTAGAAAATACAATGTCTGTAAGGTAGAAGGAAATGGGAAAAGAGGAAAACTGCATTCCAGATGGATAGACTCAACCAAGGAAGCCATACTTGCCCTGACTCTGTGAGATCCTGAGCAGTTCCCAAGTAATTGTGTAGTTCTGTTAATGGAGTGGTTCCATAATTGTGTAGCTCAGTGTGTCATTCTGTAATTGTATGTAATGACAAAAACAAAACACCCACCGGGTAGGTACATGACTTCTTCTCTCACGTTCTGCACTGGCTGCCGGTCCATTTCCAAGTACAATTCAAAGTGCTGGACTTGGCCTATAAAGCCCTATATCGCTCCAGCCCAGCGTACTTGTCCAAATGTATCTCCCTTTATGTTGCATCTCATAGTTTAAGATCCTCCGGGGAGGCCCTACTCTTGGTGCCACCAGCCTTGCAAACGCGACTGGTGGGAACGAGGGACAGGGCCTTCTCGGCGGTGACCCCCCGCTTGTGGAATTCTCTCCCCAGCAAGATTAGATCGCCGTCCTCCCTCCTTTCCTTTAGGAAAACACTGAAATTGTGATTATGGAATCAGGCCTTTGGATAGCAGGCACAACGGCACTTTGGACATTGAACTGGACCATATGATTGTTATGATAATGGAAACGGCTATATGACTGTATAAGTAATGTTATTGTTTTTAATCTATTGTGTATTTATGGTTTTATATTGTTGTTATACTGTGTTATTGCGGCATTGATTGTTGCCAGTGTTAGCCACTCTGAGTCCCCCCTCGGGGGTTGAGAAGGGTGGGGTAGAAATGTTGTAAATAAATAAATAAATAAATAAATAAACAATCCCTATACTGTACATGAGACTTATTGTCTCATGGTCAAGTCTCAGCTCCTTTAACTGTCCCTCTATTTCCACATCTCCACTTGCTTGACCCTTCAGTGGAATATGCTGTGACCACATGTCTATTAGAACTGTATTTTCCCCAACAGTTATGCACAATGGAGTTTACAGGCAATGCATTTCTATCTAATACAGCATTATCTACCTAACATTGTGTAGTAGTGTAGTTCTGTAATTGTGTAGTTTTGTAGTTCAGTAATTTTGTAGTTCTGTAATTGTGTACTTCTGTAATTTTGAAGTGTGATAGTCTTGTAGTTCTGCATTAGGGCTGAGATACGTCCAGACAAACACAAGTGTTTATTTAGATCTTCACAGCTGCTGCTACTGAAGCCAAGTCATGCCAAAAGAGATATAAAAAGCAACAGAACGGCAGGGCGTTTCCCCATTGGGTGTGTGAAGGGAATAATAAAAAGAGAGAAAGAGGTGCCGCAATTAGGAAACAAAAAATAAAGAGACAGGGCTTAACTTTGTGTACATTTCCAAGATACTACGAAATTATTCATGCACAGTCCACCCAGCTCAACATGTCAGCTCCTTTGTCTGGGGCTGAGAAAGCAAAGAGGCAAACCTGGGATTACAATAAGTTGGACAACTTGTCTCAGCTTTGTCCTTTTCCACTCATTTCTCTATACGCTTGAAACTGCCTCCTTGAATATTTGCAGGCTGCTCTCTCCCTTGTCAGTTTTGCATCTTACATTTAAAGCTTACTTTCCTCCAAAACGTTTGGAATAATAATTTTATTTTGTTTCCGACTCATGTACATTTTGATTAGATGTCATTCATTCATTCATCATTAGGTGATCCTTCATTGTCCGAGTAAGATTGTCTTCCAAGTTCGGTGTACTGGTGGTACCTGTTGCATACCAGTACTGTCATCTGTTGAGGAGTTACGAAGGTGGAGACATTACTTTTCATTCAACCCTAGTA